ACCTCTCATATATGCACAAAGACACAATCCTAACGGAAATTTGTCGGCAAAATACTTTCTTTGTTTTCTTCAACTCACTAAAAACAGAAAGAGCCGATTCAAATATTCCATTATTAGCTTTAGCACGACTCGAAGATTTAGATTTTTTCGACCCGTTCACTGAAAGAGCTTTAGCGGCTGTTGAGTTCCGCTTCTCATCATCGCGCAGAACTCCTCGTAGTTGATTTTTCCATCCTAAAAAAATATATAAATAAAATAATCATTTTAAAAACCGATAAACCAAATTCAAATTGACAATAAAAGATAATCAAATATCGAGAGTGTATGGAACTTACATTATCAGTGTCCACCTCTGAAATTATTTCCTTAATTGTGGCCTCATCTCCCATACCATACTCCTTCATCGCTGTTTCCAGCTCATCTCTCGTAATATAACTAAATAAATTTAAAGGAAAATAACACGTCAATTAAGAACATAATAAAGCATATATATCTAAAGTAACTATTATAGTAAAAAAAAATTATACAGCAAGTAAAAATAATTCTTCATATCTTACCCACTGCTATCCTTGTCGAAAAACTGAAACGCGTTAAACAAATGCTCGTCTCGTTCAAGCTTATGTCTATGCATTGTGGCAGTAATAAACTCAATGTAGTCAATCGATCCATTACCATCCACATCAGCCTGATATAATTAATTAAAATAGAAAAATAGTTAAAAATGCAAAGCTCTAAAAACCCTAACGGCAAATGATCTTCTCTTTTTTTTTCTCCTAAAATAAGAGCGTGATAATTACTTACAGCTTCCATGAGTTGTTTCACTTCGGTTTCTGAAAGTTTGGAGCCGAGCCGAGCCAAGCCAGATTTCAGCTCTTCATAAGTGATTGTCCCACTTTTATCCGTGTCCATATTAGCAAACATTGCTTTAAGTCCCTTTATTTCTTCTTCTGATAAGCTTTGTGCAATAACCTGTGTAATGTGATCGTTTGAGTAAAAAAAACAGGGGGTTGGGGGAAATATCTGATAATAAGGAAAAAAAAATTTACCTTAAGTGCAAGTTTCTTGAGCTTATTCATTGCTCTGAACTGTTTCATTCGAGATAAAACGGCACTATCTATCGGCTTGTCAGATGCTTGTCCCGTAATCCAAGGGTGCTCTGTTAAAATAATAATAATAAAAAAGACATCTCAATTAAGGAAGGGGGGAAAAAAAAAAAGAAAAGCACGTCGAATGATTTACCGAGTACTTGTGCAGAAGTAATTCTCCTTTTCGGGTCCTTAGTCAGCATTTTCCGAACGAGATCTTTAGCACTGTTTGATATTGAAGGCCACGGCTGGCTATCGAAATCAATGTCTTCATTCAATATGGCATCAAATATACCCTTCTCAGTTTCTGCAGAAAAAAAAAAAAAAAAAA